TGGCTGGTAGGTGGTTGTTGATTGGCTGGTAGATGGTTGTTGATTGGCTGGTAGATGGTTGTTGATTGGCTGGTAGATGGTTGTTGATTGGCTGGTAGGTGGTTGTTGATTGGCTGGTAGATGGTTGTTGATTGGCTGGTAGATGGTTGTTGATTGGCTGGTAGATGGTTGTTGATTGGCTGGTAGGTGGTTGTTGATTGGCTGGTAGATGGTTGTTGATTGGCTGGTAGATGGTTGTTGATTGGCTGGTAGATGGTTGTTGATTGGCTGGTAGGTGGTTGTTGATTGGCTGGTAGATGGTTGTTGATTGGCTGGTAGATGGTTGTTGATTGGCTGGTAGATGGTTGTTGATTGGCTGGTAGGTGGTTGTTGATTGGCTGGTAGATGGTTGTTGATTGGCTGGTAGATGGTTGTTGATTGGCTGGTAGATGGTTGTTGATTGGCTGGTAGGTGGTTGTTGATTGGCTGGTAGATGGTTGTTGATTGGCTGGTAGATGGTGTTGATTGGCTGGTAGATGGTTGTTGATTGGCTGGTAGGTTGGGTTGTTGATTGATTGGCTGGTAGATGGTTGTTGATTGGCTGGTAGCTGTTGATTGGCTGGTAGATGGTTGTTGATTGGCTGTAGCTTGTTGACTGGCTGGCAGATGGTTGTTGATTGGCTGGTAGATGGTTGTTGATTGGCTGGTAGATGGTTGTTGATTGGCTGGTAGCTTGTTGACTGGCTGGTAGATGGTTGTTGATTGGCTGGTAGCTTGTTGACTGGCTGGTAGATGCTTGGAGAGGCCAACACCAGACGCAGATGATCGCTCGTGCTGGCGAAGGCATCATCGCTCTGGGGTGTTTATCGTGTACAAAAGAATATCTACAACAGCCGGGAGGAAAGAGAAGAAGGAAAATGGAATAAATATAATGAGAAAGAGAAAATGAGACTAAATTTAATGAAAGGAAGGAGATATAAAGAATAAAATAAGATGAATAAAAACAAAGATAATAATAATAATAATAATAATAATAATAATAATAATAATAATAATAACAATAAAAACAATAATAACAATAACAACAATAACAATAATACAACTCATTCTCACTAAAAAAAAAAACCAATTACTTTAATACACCCATACACATACACTCGGTCATACACACAAACAGTATAATTCATGTATAATTCACCCTTCATGATCATACATACAATAATTCGTCTTCATATTATACACCGACTGTATTCATTCCCCTGTGTGTATAGTGTTTATGTATACTCTAGTCTGTATAGTTCCTGTTATTATTGTATGTCTTATGCCTGGTCATGTCAGTGTATGTAATTATTTCCTGTGTGACTGTATGGGTGTGTTTGACTGTATGAGTGTATGGGTGTGTTTGAGTGTATGACTGTATGGGTGTGTATGACTGTATGGGTGTGTTTGAGTGTATGACTGTATGGGTGTGTTTGAGTGTATGACTATATGGGTGTGTTTGAGTGTATGACTGTATGGGTGTGTTTGAGTGTATGACTGTATGGGTGTGTTTGAGTGTATGGGTGTGTTTGACTGTGGGTGTTAGTGTATGACTGTATGGGTGTGTTTGAGTGTATGGGTGTGTTTGACTGTATGAGTGTGTGAGTGTATGACTGTATGGGTGTGTTTGACTGTATGAGTGTTTGACTGTATGAGTGTGTTTGAGTGTATGACTGTATGGGTGTGTTTGACTGTATGAGTGTGTTTGTGTATGACTGTATGGGTGTGTTTGGTGTATGACTGTATGGTGTGTTTGACTGTATGGGTGTGTTTGACTGTATGAGTGTGTTTTGTATGACTGTATGGGTGTGTTTGAGTGTATGGGTGTGTTTGACTGTATGAGGTGTTTTAGTGTATGACTGTATGGGTGTGTTTGACTGTATGAGTGTTTGACTGTATGAGTGTGTTTGAGTGTATGACTGTATGGGTGTGTTTGAGTGTATGGGTGTGTTTGACTGTATGAGTGTGTTTGAGTGTATGACTGTATGGGTGTGTTTGACTGTAGTGTGTTGAGTGTATGACTGTATGGGTGTGTTTGACTGTATGAGTGTTGACTGTATGAGTGTGTTTGGTGTATGACTGTATGGGTGTGTTTAGTGTATGGGTGTGTTTGACTGTATGAGTGTGTTTGAGTGTATGACGTATGGGTGTGTTTGACTGTATGGTGTTTGACTGATGAGTGTGTTTGAGTGTATGACTGTATGGGTGTATAGGTGTGTTTGACTGTATGAGTTGGAAGGGATTGGAAGCCTGAATATTTCTTGGTGGAAGGAGAGAAGAGGAATAGGAGGGAAGGAGAGAGAAGGGAGAATAGGGAGGGAAGGAATAGGAGGAAGGAGAGAAGGAATAGGAGGAAGGAGAGAAAGAATAGGAGGAAGGAGAGAAGGGATAGGAGGAAGGAGAGAAAGAATAGGAGGAAGGTGTTGAAATTTTGGAGGGATGCTCTCTCTTCTCTCTCTCTCTCTCTCTCTCTCTCTCAGGGTGAGCATTAAGAAAGGAGGGAGACAGAGAGAGATAATAAGAGAAGGAGAGGGGACAGAGTCAGATAGAGAGAGACAGAAAATTGAGACAGATAGAGAGAAAGGCAAAGACAGACAGACAGAGAAGAACAGGCAGACAGAGAGATACGAAAGTCCAGTACTTAATCATTATAACCACTCAGCTTGTGTTATCTCTAAAACAGAGGGAGAAGGAGGAAGGAGGAGGGAGAAGGAGGAGGAGGAGGGTCGTAGTTTCAAGATGGGCTAGGAGGAGGAAGATTATTACTTGACGAGAAAAACAACTCTCTCTTACTTTATCATTTACAAGGATAAAGGCACTGAAAAAATCCTTCTTTCTCCTCTCTCCTTCTTCATTCTTCCTTCACAACATTCTTTAATAACATCACAAACAGTATAGGATTCTAGACGTCTCTCTCTCACACATTCATTTTCCTACTGTCATTCATCTCCCTAATAAATAATAAACTACTCAACAACAACTAAAAATAACTCAGTTCCCTCCCCATCATCTTAGTTACATAACCTTGTGACTACAGAAAATGCTTCAAGACGATGACTCCTCTAAAGTGGAATCATGTCGACCCTATCTCGCCTTCTGTTCCTGCCTGATGCTTCGTGACTCATTTATTTAGAGATATAGAGAGATAGAGAATTGAGATAGATTGAGAGATATATATATTGATATTGAAACAGTTTATTTAGCCTGAAGAACACAGATACAGTCAATAATAAAATTAACGATATTAGGATGGTTGTATGGACAGTTTTTAGGAATTGTTAAGAATGTGTTTATTTTGTAATGTAGGGTTAAATTATCATACTCAAAGGGTTAAATCATCATACTCAAAGGGTTAAATTATCATACTCCAAAGGGTTAAATCATCATACTCAAGGGGTTAAAATATCATACTCAAGGGGTTAAATTATCATACTCAAGGGTTAAAACACCATACTCAGGGGGTTAAAACATCATACTCAAGGGGTTAAAATATCATCTCAAAGGGTTAAATCATCATACTCAAAGGGTTAAATCATCATACCAAGTAAATCATCATACTAAAGTTAAATCATCATACCAAGGTTAAAACACCATACTCAAAGGGATTAAATTATCATACTCAAGGGGTTAAATCATCATACTCAAGGGGACACCATTTTTAATTTGATAACGCCAGATTTTATGACAGTAAAGAAAGGGGTGAAGAGGCTACAAAAAATATCATACGAGCCTTTACGATAACTGAACCTCTTAAATTATTAAAAAAAAATATGAGGAAAATCAGATGACAAATAAACTCAAGTTCCCTGATATTGACGATAATTTTTTGCTACGTAGATAACGAAAGAATCATTTATTTTAAGGAGGAGGGAGGTGGGCTCTGTCAACACCACCATCAACAAGGTATCACGTTATCTGGGCTGTTATCGTTCATCTTACTGCTTGTGTTATCATCATCATCATCATCATTATCAATCATCATCATCAATCATCATGCTGGGATAAATTACCCTAGATTATTTCCTGTTTATATAAATTACCCCTAGATTATTTCCCTAGTAAACCTCAAATCCACAGATAATTCCTGTAGTAAAAAAAAATCCTTGCATATTTATTCCCAAAGAAAATCACATCACGACAAAACTTCCCCACACACACACGCACACACACGCACACACACACACACGCACACACACAACACAATACAAACAAATTAAATATAAACATTAAATCACAAACCCTAACAATACTGCTGAGAGAGAGAGAGAGAGAGAGGTCCATCGCACACCCTGAAAAATTATTAACGACTAACTAAACCTTTTTCGCATACATACCAAACAAACTACGACAAAATACTAAAAAAAACTAAAAATAAACAATAAATACTTTAAAATATATGACATATTATCAAGTAATATGATATAAATAAATAAATAAATAAATAAAACGATTCTGAGTTTATTTTCATCCTCGTCTCAACGTGACTACTACCATACCAATCACTCACACTTATCACGCTGAGTACTTTATTATCGTCAAGTTGCCTTTACGTAAGTGTAATTATTAACCCAATGAGTGATAAAATTAAAGGACTTTATAATTTAACCTTTAACGTATGATAGTTGACACAGCTTCAGTCTCAAGATCACGCGGGTACAATAGTTCATAAGTACTAACTCCAGCAGCAAGATGATTGTGTAACTTCATCGTAACTTGCTCGTGAGGTATTAAATTTTAGCAAATATATTATTTACTGTTATATTATGTAACTTAACCATGAGTATTTTTGATCAGAGAGGCAATATTAGATATAGTATTGCTGGATGTGGTGATAATCCCTAATGGAAGAAGAATTTTACGTTACGGAATACTGTTCAGTAGTGTCGGTAGTAGTGCTACACATAAAATGGCTAATATTTTATCTTATTTCTCGTTAATGTTAAATTTCCCCCGTCCATTAACCATGATTTCTTGTTCTACAGCTTCTGGCCGGTGTAGGAAGAGGCGGGGATGGAGGAGAGGAGACACCCGACGATCCACCCACCTACGACGAGGTCCTCAAGACAGAAGCGCCTCCACCACCCTATTACATGGCTGTGAACGAGACTGCCAAGCCCTCCTCGTCCCACTCTCCCGTCAAGCCCAAGAGAGAGCCATCATCGTCCCCGCCGCCGCCACCCTACAAAGAAATCGGTGTGGATGCCGTCAACACCATCACCCAAGACCAGCGCCACCCCTTCGCCTTCACCAGTCCCTTCATCAACCAGATCACCAACGACGAAGGCAACACCGGGGCCGAAGTTGGGATAGCTACCGTCGCCCCAGATCCTGTAGGGACTATGAGGACCCCAATAGTGAGAGAAATTAGCCCAGTGCATCTCCGACCAGAGGCTAGGATCCCAGCTTGCCATGGGGGATATCTCAGACGAACAGCGTCCCTTGCTAGACACAGACTCACTGTTACCATGTACTCACTGAATCAGGATATAACTGTACCTGCCTATTCATACTAACTACTATTATTAGTGTTAAAGTGTAGTAAGTTCCGTGTATTAATAGAATAAGATTAATAACAGTAATATGGCCATGGTAGGCTGTGGCCTGTACCTGAACGAGGAGCCGGTTAGTAACTCAGGAGGTCTCACATACGAGTCCTTCTGTTGACGATAGAGAAAAACATTTATTAACATTTATTTCTCTTAATGTTTAACTATTTATTACAAGTGTGCAATAAAGTATCGTCAGTGAATTTATAACTTATATTTGTATCGCTGTCATGGATATTATATCTAATTAATTTGGTTCATTTATTATACGGGGTTATAAATGACAATTATAGGGTAATCAAGGATCTGCCAAAGATAGAATTTAAGTGATGTTGTCGATGGGGGTTGACTGTCGTGATCCTGTATATAATAATGTTAAGGAAAAACTAAAACAAATAAACAATATATTAAATTTTTATTGTTTTAATTGATTCTTATATTTTTGGGTGATGTTCTAGCGATTCTGTAACTCAAATAAGACTCAATTAATTATATTCAAGTAATCTATGTGTAATAATAATAATAATAATAAACGAGTCAATAACAAACACAGTAACTATAAGAACTTAATTTAACAAGGAAATTCAACACAATTACAACATAAAAAGTGTGATTGTAGGAGCAAGTAAACAAACACACAAGTAATTTACGAGTTATTGATGTTTTTTTTTTTTAACAATGGCTGGGATGGCGTAGATCAGAGGGTGCTACAGTGTTGAGTATGGCGCAGTGTGGTGTAAGAGAGAGGGAGAGAATGGGTTTTTATACGCTGTTGAGAATCATTTCTAGTTCTTGCCATGTATAGATGTTAAGGAAGAAAGACCATCCAGGCAAAGGTTAAACTATAGTTATGGGGGCAATTTAAGACGACAGAGGTGGAGACGAAAACTGGAAACCAATGATGATTTATCCAGACGTATGCTTGCTTGTTGTTTCAGGGGCCCAGGGAGCTTGGTGGAAGCAGTGTATTGGGGCCCAGTGTGAAAAACAGACGTGGTTAGATAGTCGGAGGAGTGGTTGTGGTGCATAAACATGGTTGTTGGTGACGTGGTTAGTAGTGGCAACATAATCTTGAAGAGTTTGTTTTTTATATCCTGGTGGGTGCTGTAGTCTGGTGCTCTCTTCACCTTTAAGAGATGTCACGCTTGGCTGATGTCTCCGCAGGTGAAGGCGTGGTGATGTGGGTGGTGAAATGACCTACTTGTCTCAATAAGGTCAACCTTTCTCCTGCTTCCCTGCCTCCCTGCTTCCCTCCCTCCTGCTTCCTCCCTCCTGCTTCCTCCTCCCCTGCTTCCTTCCCTCCCTGCTTCCTCCTCCTGCTTCCTCCTCCCTGCTTCCTCCCTCCCCTGCTTCCCCTGCCCTCCTGCTTCCTCGCCCTCCCTGCTTCCTCCTCCTGCTTCCCCCCTCCTTCTCCCTCCCTCCTGCTTCCTGCCCTCCCTGCTTCCTGCCCTCCCTGCTCCCCTGCCCTCCCTGGCTTCCCTCCCTCCCTGCTTCCTGCCCTCCTTGCTCCCCTCCCTCCCTGCTTGCCTCCCCTGCTCCTCCTCCTGCCCCTCCCTGCTTCCTGCCCTCCCTGCTTCCGCCCTCCCTGCTTCCCTGCCTCCTGCTTCCCTCCTCCCTGCTCTCCCTCCTGCTTCCTCCCTCCCTGCTCCTCCCTCCTGCTTCCCGCCCTCCTGCTTCCCTGCCTCCCTGCCTCCCTCCCTGCTTCCCTGCCCTCCCTGCTTCCTCCTCCCTGCTTCCTGCCCTCCTGCTTCCTGCCCTCCCTGCTTCCTGCCCTCCCCTGCTTCCTGCCCTCCCTGCTTCCTCCCTCCTGCTTCCCCTCCCTGCTTCCCTCCCTCCCTGCTTCCTGCCCTCCCTGCTTCCTTCTCCCCCTCCTGCTTCCCTGCCCTCCCTGCTTCCCGCCCTCCCTGTTTCCTCCCTCCTGCTTCCCCCTCCTCCCTGCTTCCTCCTCCTGCTTCCTCCTCTTCCCTCCTCCCCCTTCCCCTCCCCTCTTCCTCCCTCCCTGCTTTCTCCTCCCCTGTCCCCCTCCCTGCTTCCCCTGCCCTCCCTGCTTCCCTGCCCTCCCCTGCTTCCCTCCCTGCTTCCCTCCCTCCTGCCTCCCCTGCTTCCTCCTCCCTGCTTCCTGCCTCCCTGCTTCCTGCCCTCCTGCTTCCCTGCCCTCCTGCTTCCCCTGCCCTCCCTGCTTCCTGCCCTCCCCTGCTTCCTGCCTCCTGCTTCCGCCCTCCCTCATCCCCCCCTGCTTCCTCCCTCCCTGCTCCTGCCCTCCCTGCTTCCCTGCCCTCCTGCTTCCCCGCCCTCCCTGCTTCCCCTGCCCTCCCTGCTTCCCCCCCTCCCCCGCTCCTCCCTGCTTCCCCCTCCCTGCTTCCCCTCCTGCTTCCCCTCCCTCCTGCTTCCCCCTCCCTGCTCTCCTCCCTGCTTCCTGCCCTCCCTGCTTCCTCCCTCCCTGCTTCCCTGCCCCCTGCTTCCCTCCTCCCTGCTTCCTGCCCTCCTGCTTCCCCCTCCGCTTCCCTCCTCCCCTTTCTCCCTCCCTGCTTCCCTCCCTCCTGCTTCCTCCCTCCTGCTTTCTCCTCCTGCTTCTCCTCCTGCTTCCTGCCTCCCTGCTCCCTCCTCCCCTGCTTCTGCCCTCCCTCAGCTTCCCTGCCCTCCTGCTTTCTCCTCCTCCCTGCCCTGCCCTCCCTGCCTCCCTTCCCTCCCTGCTTCCTCCCTCCCCTGCTTCTCCATCCTCCTGCTTCTCCTCCCTGCATCCCGCCCTCCCCTGCTCTCCTCCCCTGCTTCCTGCCCTCCCTGCTTCCTCCCTCCCCTGCTTCCTCCTCCCTGCTTCCCTGCCCCCTGCTTTCCTCCCTCCCTGCTTCCTCCCCCTTCTGCCCTCCTGCTTCCCGCCTCCCTGCTTTCCTCCCCCCCTCCCCTCCTGCTTCCTCCCCTGCTTCCTCCCTCCGCTTCCTGCCCTCCCCTGCTTCCCTCCCTCCCTGCTTCCCTCCCTCCCTGCTTCCATCCTCCCTGCTTCCCCCTCTGCTTTCCTCTCCTGCTTTTCCTCCTCCCTGCTTTCCTCCTCCCTGCTTCCTCCTCCCTGCTTCCTGCTCCTCCTGCTTCCTCTGCTTTCTCCTCCCTGCTTCCCTCCTCCCTGCTTCCTGCCCTCCCTGCTTCCCTCCCTCCCTGCTTCCCCTCCTCCCTGCTCTCCCTCCCTGCTTCCTCCCTGCTCCTGCCCTCCTGCTTCCTGCCCTCCCTGCTTTCTCCCTCTGCCTCTGCCCTCCCTGCTTTCCTCCCTCCTGCTTCCCTCCTCCCTGCTTCTCCTCCCTCCCTGCTTCCTCCTCCTGCTTCTCCTCCCTGCTTCCTCCTCCTGCTCCTGCCCTCCCTGCTTCCTCCTGCTTCCTCCTGCTCCTCCCTCCTGCTTCCTCCCTCCTGCTTCCCGCCCCCTGCTTTCCTCCTCCCTGCTCTCCTCCCTGCTTCTCCTCCTGCCTTGCCCTCCCTGCTTCTCCCTCCCTGCTTCCTCCCTCCCTGCTTTCTCCTCCTGCTCTCCCTCCTGCTTCCTCGCCCTCCCTGCTTCCCTGCCCTCCCTGCTTCCTCCTCCCTGCTTCCTCCCTCCTGCTTCCTCCTCCTGCTTCCTCCTCCCTGCATCCCGCCTCCCTTCCCCTCCCTCCTGCTTCCCTGCCCTCCCTGCTTCCCTGCCTCCCCTGCCTCCTCCCTGCTTCCCCTCCTCCTGCTTCCTCCCTCCCTGCTTCCCTCCCTGCTTCCATCCTCCTGCTTCCTCCCTCCCTGCATCCTGCCCTCCCTGCTTCCTCCTCCCTGTCCCGCCCTCCTCCCCTTTCCTCCCTCCTGCTTCCTGCCCTCCCTGCTTCCTCCTGCTTCCTCCTGCTTCTCCATCCTCCCTGCTTCTCCTCCTCATCCTGCCCTCCCTGCTTCCTCCCTCTGCTTCCCTCTCCTCGCATCCCGCCCTCCCTTGCTCCCCTCCCTCCTGCTTCCCTGCCCTCCTGCTTCCCTCCCTCCTGCTTCCATCCTCCTGCTTCCTCCCTCCCTGCTTCCCCCTCCTCCTGCTTCCCTCCTCCCTGCTTTCCTCCCTCCCTGCTTCCTCCCTCCTGCTTCCTGCCCTCCTGCTTCCCGCCCTCCCTGCTTCCTCCTCCCTGCTTCCCTCCCTCCCTGCTTTCCTCCTCCCTGCTTCCCTCCCCTGCTTCCTCCCTCCCTGCTCCTCCCTCCCTGCTTCCTGCCCTCCTGCCTCCTCCCTCCCCTGCTTCCCTCCCCTGCTTCCTGCCCTCCCTGCTCTCCCTCCCCTGCTCCCTCCCTGCTTCCCTCCCTCCCTGCTTCCTGCCCTCCCTGCTTTCCTCCCTCCTTGCTTCCTCCCTCCTCCTCTTCCCGCCCTCCCTGCTCTCCCTCCTTGCTTCCCGCCCCTCCCCTGCTCCCTCCCCCTCCCCTGCTTCCTGCCCTCCCCTGCTTCCTCCCCTCCTGCTTTCCTCCCTCCTGTCCTCCTGCTTCCCTCCTCCTGCTTCCTGCCCTCCCTGCTTCCCTCCTGCTTCTCCTGCTTCCCGCCCTCCCTGCTTCTCCCTCCTGCTCCTGCCTCCTGCTCTCCTCCTGCTTCCCCTCTCCTGCTCTCCCTCCCTGCTTCTCCTCCCTGCTTCCTCCCTCCCTCCCTGCTTCCATCCTCCTTTTTATCTCAACTCTAATATTCACTAAAATATTCACCTTATTAACATGACCTTAGGTTAGGTTAGGGTAAGGTTAGGTTAAGGATATTAATACATATGGAAATCTCAATATGTATACTAGGGGAAATTTATACATATTTCCTGGAAATAGACCAAAATTATCTTACATTAATCTTATGAAATGACGGAACAGACTTGATGAAATACTGTACTAAAATAACATCTCCAATTATCGTAATCAGGTGTTATCTTACAGTGGACCTAAGACAACCTCCTTGATCTACCTGTGGCTGACCCCTTGACCCCTGTGAGTCACTAAAACGTGTGATGACTAATTGTTTCTTGTG